TGGCCAAGGAGACCTCCAGGTCCCGCTACGAAGGGAAACATTTTCCCCAAGCAGCGCGGACAAAGAGACAACTCCTTCCGGTCTTCCCGGAGATGTTGGATGAGGTGTCGGTCTCGTGGAGAGACCGGCCCTTCAGCAACAAGGTCCCAATCCAGGGTGCCTCCTCCCTAGACTGTGACGGAATGGAGAAGCTCGGCCTGCTCCGCATACCGCCCATGGAACCGCTGGTAGCAACCCACCTCCTACCGAGGATGGGCCCGTCACCAAGCAGGAACCCCACGCTGCCGGCAAAGTCGGACCGATTTCAGTCGACAATGACTGAACGGTCCTACAAAGCCGCAGCGTTGTCCGCCAGGGCCCTGAATGTGGCCTCGCTGCTAACCGCTTACCAAGCGGAGCTCTGCGAGGACCTGTCGGGTAACCCGGGTGCAGCCACTCTGGACGAGATGGCGGCGGTCACAGACATCTGTCTCCGTGTCCAACGCTGCGCCGTCCAGGCCACGGGTAAGGCAATGGGGATCATGGTGGTGCAGGAAAGAGCGAGATGGCTCAACCTCACCAACCTCCCAGACCGGGAAAAGGAGGATGTGCTGGATATGCCCATCGTTCCCGAGGGAATTTTCGGCTCCGCTCTTGCTTCCATGCAAAGGAGGTGTGAGTCGAAAAAGAGGGAGGACGAGGCACTCCACCTCTGCCTCCCTCGAAGGGTCCAGCCGCTGCCTTCGCAGCAGCAGTCCTTCGCCCAAGCTGCCTTGAACCCTGCTCGGTTTAAAACACCGAAAACGCAGAGGTCGCAGCCCGCCCCGAGTCCCCAGCCCAGGCTGGAGACGAGGGAGCTGGCCCAGAAAATCTCCGGTTCCGGCTGCAGCTCAGACGCAGCCAACCCAGAATTTCGGCCAGCAGGCGAGGAAGAAGAAGCGAGCGGCGTGACAGCCCCTCCTTCTCCCCTCCGTGACAGAGCTGGAAGTCCACGGTTCCCCAGCTCTAAATGTGTTCCCGCCGCCTCGAGAGATGCCTCAACACCATCCTCAAGTCCGCAAAAACACATGTCACAAATCTGTTTGTTCCTCTGTCATTAAACATTTGCCGCTGACGCATCCAGGCTTCAGGCCGAGGGCGCAGCTCAAAAAAAAAAATGATAAGAAAAACAATAAAACCAATAAACAGCCCGCCAACTGTTCCCCTTCTGAGAGCAGCTTCGGCATCTCTCAAAAGGCGGATTACAGGCGGGTCTGTGAAGGCACCACCGTCACGCGCATGCGCAGTGCCGGCTGGGGTTTTAAAAGCACCACCGCCACGCGCATGCGCAGTGCCGGCTGGAGTTGTGAAGGCACCACCGTCATGCGCATGCGCAGTGTCGGTGGGGATTGTCGAAAAGGGGCACCACTGTGTTCAGACACTAGAGGGCCCCATAACACAACAAATAGAGACTCAGAGGGGAAGAGATGTGACATCTCCACTGGCTCTAAGGAGCATGCAGTGGAAGATGCTCACATCATCTGCTTGGGTTTTCAAGACAGTAACACGGGGCTACAGACTCCAATTCGCTGTCACCCCCCCTCGCTTCTCGGGCATTCTGCATTCGCAGGCCCGAGGAGAGTCAGCCCATATTCTGGAGAAAGAGATTCTCTCTCTCCTAGAAAAGAGGGCTATATCTATTGTACCCGCCGAGCAGAGTCAGGGCGGCTTCTATTCCAAGTACTTCCTCGTTCCCAAACGGGGAGGGAACGGAATTCGGCCAATACTTGATTTGAGGGCTCTGAACAAATATCTAAGAAGATATAAGTTCAGAATGCTCACTCACACATCTCTGTTGCGGCTCGTGCGACAAGACGACTGGTTCACATCAGTCGACCTGAAAGATGCGTATTTTCACATCCCAGTATATTACCCACACAGGAAATATCTGAGATTCGCATTTCAGGGGATCTGTTATGAATACAGAGTACTCCCCTTCGGTCTGTCTCTCAGTCCAAGGGTGTTTGTACGATGTACGGAAGCCGCGATAGCCCCGTTAAGACAACAGGGTATTCGCCTGGCGACCTACCTGGACGACTGGCTGCTTCTCGCACAGTCGGAGCAGGAGGCTGTTACGCAGACAAATGTCCTCGTAAAGCACCTGCTCAACCTGGGTTTCATAATAAACACAGAGAAGAGCATGTTGTGCCCCGCGCAGACTATACTCTTCCTGGGTTTACACCTGAACTCGGTGCCCTTTTCAGCTCGCTTGTCAGCGGAAAGAGTGAAAGCTTTCAGAGCTTGTCTCGCTCTTTTCCAGCTGCGCAAACATGTTCTCTTCAGATCATGCCTGCGATTGCTGGGGCTCATGGCGTCAGCCATCCTGGTCGTACGACTGGGACGCTTACACATGAGGGAGTTTCAGCGCTGGGTGGCCGCCCTAAAACTAAACCCTGCGCGCCATGGCGCGCGGAGAGTGATGGTTACTGTGAAATGCGTAATGGCACTGCGCCACTGGCTGCACCCGACTTTTCTAGTACGAGGTGTGCCTATGGGTGCTGTCCTTTCACGGAAAGTGGTCACCACGGACGCATGTCTGACAGGTTGGGGAGGTATTTATGAAGGTCGCCCGGTGAGGGGTCTCTGGAGCAGAGACCTCCAGCGGGCGCACATAAATTACCTGGAGCTTTTAGCGGTATTTCTCACCCTAAAACGCTTTCTGCCTTTCCTCAGGGGACATCACGTCCTTGTGAGGACAGACAATACGACCACAATATCGTATATTAACCGCCAAGGGGGTTTGCGTTCTCTCCAGTTACACACACTGGCGCGCAAACTTATCCTATGGAGCGGTAGGTGTCTCCTCTCTCTGAGAGCGACGCACGTACCGGGAGTGAGGAACCTCGGGGCAGATCTACTGTCCAGAGGTATACCACTTTATGCAGACTGGACTCTACATCCAAGGATTGTGAGCCAGCTGTGGGTGCGTTACGGCAGAGCCGCGGTGGATCTGTTCGCATCGAAAGACAACGCTCAGTGTCAGCTGTTCTTTTCGATGCGCGATCTAAATGCACCGTTAGGCGTGGATGCACTTGCGCACAATTGGCCCCCGGGCCTTCTGTACGCGTTCCCACCCCTGGCTCTGATACCCCCAACTCTGGCCAGAGTGAGAGAGCAACGCCACACACTTATCCTGATAGCTCCGCACTGGCCAGCTATGTACTGGCTAGCGGAGATATATCAGCTGCTGTGCGGGCAGCCATGGCAGCTCCCACTACGCAGGGACATACTGTCCCAAGCGGGGGGGGGGGGGATCTTTCACCCACACCCAGAGCGCTTGGCTCTATGGGCCTGGCCCGTGAGTGGTACAATCTAAATACAGTGTGACATGACGCTGACCCTGGCAGCTGCCAAGCGAGCCAGTGGCACTCATGCACTATCTGTACAGTTTTCATGCACTCAGTTTGCCCCAGGGCAAACAGAGTGTGGTTGAAGCCTGACCCTGCCTTTATCTTAAGGCGGTCGGTTCGGGTACCACATTTGACATTAAGGCATCCCCCCCGCCACTGTATTCCTCCGGGGAACAGCGGCCGGATTTGCCGTGTCCAGCCCGTGCTTCACGCACGTACAGGGACAGATCAAGGGTGCTTTGTCATAATGACCAACCCCTTGTGTCCTGGGCTAACCCTTATAAGGGCAAGCCTGTTACTAAGCAACGGCTCTCCCACTGGTCTGTGGAAGCAATTGCTTTGGGGCTCATACGAGTCAGAGTTCGCAGGCACCCTCGGGTCCGCGAGCTCTTTCGACTCAGAGTCTGGCTGCATTCTGGATTCTGTCCAGGATGTCTCCCATCAAAGACATTGGTGCAGCGGCGAGCTGGTCCTCGCCGCTCACTTTTGTCTGCCTCCTAACAGGCTGGACGTTCTGCTCCCAGTGTGACTCAAGCAGTGCTGGGCACCTGGTTGAGTCAGAGCTCTACTTGTTAAGTTCTGGTTGGTTTGGTGATTTTCGAGATAAGCTCGTCTGGCAATACGGGAGCTACAATTTCCCATAGTGAGACATCGAACGGAGTGTTATGAATGAGAACTATAGGTTACTTGCGTAACCCCAGTTCTCAGCGTAACATGAAGTGAGATGTCTCACCAGACGGCCCTCCTTGCTATGGTGAAGCGAGAAGAGGTGCTTATTTTGAATGGCGCATGCGTTGTGGCGCAAGCTACTTATAGGGGGTGATTTCCCTGACGCTGACGTCAAGATCTCCAGCCAATCAGGATTGGCGTAATGAGATTGATGCTTCTGTTTGCTCCGCGATGAGGCGCATCCCATAGTGAGACATCTCACTTCATGTTACTCTGAGAACTGGGGTTACGCAAGTAACCTATCGTTATGTGCACCCCTGTACTACAGCAAAAGTATTCTCCGTCGGGACTTCCTGCAACAACACCACGCCGTTATCAAAGATGTTTTATTGAGAAGACGATCACTACGTGACAAAAGTTTTCAAAACCGTGGCTACTGAAATCAATCTTACTAACTGCTGTCTGTGCAATTTACTCCGCGAGTTGGCAGACTTTATTTTTCTTACTTTAACATCATTTTTCATGGTGGGGCTAAGCCATTTCTTGGTATGGGTGTAGCCTACCCCAGCCATACCCTGGCGCTGCCACTGGTGGCACGTATGGGGCGGGCCATTCTGCACATACGTTAAATGCGTTAAATATTTTAACGCAATTAATTCAAAAAATTAATTACCGCCGTTAACGCGATAATTTTGACAGCACTAATATATATATATAGCACCTTCTGCCATATCGTCACCCTTTGCAGTGATTGACTTGAACACTGAGAATGTTTTTATGAACTTCAGACATTTTCATATACAAATGTGATCATACACCAACACACATTTTAGAGATATACATTTTTCACACACAACCATTTACTAAATTAAACCATATCCCATTATAATACGAGCAAATAAGAAGGCACAGCAATAAATATATATTGTGTGTGGGTGGGGGGGGTGTTAAGATCCAGGTCCAATGGGGGCAGAGGGGAGAGGTGGGAGAGAGTTCAGCATCCTACAGGAAATGTCATTTGCATGTAATATTATTTATTCATATGGAATTATATAACTGGAGTTTGTTATCCTTTAATTTTGCTTGATTAATTAAAAAAACAGAAACACAAACATAAAAAAGGGGTCATTCAGGAATACAATTATTATATTATAAATAATAATAAAATAATAAATTATATTATAATATTGAATTAAATATTTTTTTGTATAGTATTATTTCATTTAGAAAGGCAATACAATAGAATAAAAATACAATACAAAACTTGGGACAGAGCTAAGTAACTGATCAGTCACAACACAAAATAACAGGAGAATGAGAATTAATTACCTTTTACTGTAAAGTTCGATGACGCACGGCGCATTTGATCTCGCTCATTTTTAGAGAGGTCTGTGTGAAATTCACCTTCAGACATGTATTCTCTCAAATTGTTGTAAAACACTAAAGTCTTCATTCTGTCAGATGCAATGCAAATCACCGTTTGTCACATGTAAAAACTCTGCAAATCACCGTTTGTCACATGTAAAAACTCGCGAATGGTTCAGACGGTCTAGATGTCAATTTTGTCCTACTTGGGTTGCCGTCCGGCGTTGTCCAATATGGCGGACCATCTCGCACATGCGCACAGCAGATCGGGCAGAGCTGCAGATCGGGTAGTGACACCCTTCAAGGATCAAAACTTGAAACCACCGGAGTTAAATCCAGACGACAGTAGATCAGAAGTGTCTTTGCCTTTTGAGTATGTTTTGGGGTTTTAACATGACAGTTTGGCATAGAAATCCCCCTTACAATAAAGGCAGTATGCCCGTGTGTCATCTCCAATAAATGGCTTCAACCATCCTTTATACTCAGGGTTTGATTCCCACTCCTTTCTGTATTTTTGAGAATACAATTTAGACTGTGCCATGATGTTTAGCTTGTCACAGAGAGGCACACACACAGTGGACGAGGTGATTGAGTGACTGAGGCTGTGTGAGGCAAAGCAAAGGCAGTTATTTATTATAGTGTGAAAGTGAGTGAAGAAACATTTACATTCAACATTTAAATCCCGCTCAAAACCAGGACGGCTTGGCAGTTGGCGCATGCGCAATTCATTTGCAGTCTCGACGCGGGGGAGTGTGGTTGTCTCCTCTCTGCTCTGACTGCAGCAGCAGCTCTGCTGCGGCCAGGCAACTGTCAGTCTGAGCGCCTGTGAGTACTATGGGAGGGAGGCGGGGCTCACGGCAGCACCCGCGGCTCGTTAACTGCAGAACAATGTGAGTCTCCAAACACCAGAAAAGTCGCTAATAACACCATTATAAATCGCTAGATTAGTCGTTAGTCGCTTTTGACACAAATAAGTCGCCGGAGGGTTTGGAAATCCGCCAAATTTAACGAGAAAATCGCCAAGTTGGCAACACTGCACGCACGTCAGGCCTTCCTTTCCGACGATTTGATTGGTCGGAAGGGAAGGGCCGGCGGGCTTTCCTTCCGACCAATCAAATCGTTGGAAGGGAAGGCCGGCGGGCTTTCCTTGACATGTCCCTGACACAGCGCACTGTGGGTGTAGTATAGTGAGTGTAGCGTGCAATACTGTGTTTCACCGCAGATTAATTAAGAGGGGCGCTGTTTCAGTCTTTGTAAAATACTCACTGACAACAGCAGAGAGATGTTTTTTAAGTGTAGGCTATTCATAAATTAATAAAATCACCTAAACATAAGAAAGTAAGGCTGAAACATAACATGTTTTCTCTCTTGTCGTCCAGCTGGAGTGGGTTTTGTTTGGGGGGGGGCCTGGGGCAGTGTCTCGCTGGGTCAGTGCACTGCTGAGGTTGCACACTTCTCTCTGCAGTGGTGGGCCGACCCTTCGTCTCTCAAACACCGGATCAACACAGAGGGTGAGTCCGTGTTCTTCTGTATTCTTGAAACCTCAGTCTTATGTTCTGTGAGACTAATCCATCTCTGTTTCTGGTCCCTGTCCTCAGGATACTCCGAGCTGTGCTCCCAGCTCTCCTCGCCTTATTTTAAAGGCGTCGACTCCTTCTACGTGCGGGTCAATCTCAACATGGAGCCTCACTGGGACCCTCCATCTCTGGGTGTATCCTGTGATTATATTGTACACGTCAGAGACGCAAGACACAACCGTGTCCTCAGGAAAATATTGCAAAAACTTTAGCTCAGAAACATCAGGTTCAACTGATGTATCATTTCCAGCTTGGTGACCCGTTCAGTAATAAGTGCAACGTCGACAATGCCTGCCCTGTGAATATTGGTTCTCTGAAAAAAGCTGATATTATAAAAAGGGACCACATTACTCCTGTTCTGGCTGCCTTACACTGGCTCGCTATAGAACACAGGATAGAATTTAAAATTCTTCTTCTCGCCTACAAAGCCCTTAATGGGCAGGCGCCATCTTACCTTAAAGAACTCATTATACCCTACTGTCCTACTAGGGCATTGCGTTCCAAGAATGCAGGGTTGTTGGTTGTTCCTAGAGTCTCTAAAAGTACAATGGGAGCCAGAGCCTTTTCTTATCAAGCTCCACATTTGTGGAATCAGCTTCCAGTTTGTGTTCGGGCGGCAGACACCCTATCCGTTTTTAATAGTGCGCTTAAGACCTTCCTTTTTGATAAAGCTTATAGTTAGGGCTGATTAGATTCAGCCCCTAGTTTTGCTGATATAGGCTTAGTTTGTCGGGGGACATCTTACTTCTTCCTTCTCTCTGTCTATACCTGTGTACTCATGTTCCGATTAACCCAGCTTCCCCAAATTTCTTTCTTTTTGGTGTCTATATACGGAGTCATGGATGATCCTGCGCTCCTCTGTCCTGGATCGCGAGCCCTGGATCTTGAGTCGTGGCTGTGGTCCTGGATCATAGGTCCTGGATGGATATCCTCGTGGATTCATCTTCCTATTATACACACATGCATTTCCAAACATTTGGACTACCTATGTTGCAAATGTATTATCTTTTCAATTTACACACGGCATCTATTGCACGTCTGTCCGTCTTGGGAGAGGGATCCCTCCTCTGTTGCTCTCCCTGAGGTTTCTCCCATTGTTCCCTTTAAACTGTGGGTTTTCTTCGGAAGTTTTTCCTTGTACGATGTGAGGGTCTAAGGACAGAGGGTGTCGTATTGTCATACTGATATTTTGTACAAACTGTAAAGTCCACTGAGACAAATGTAACATTTGTGATATTGGGCTATATAAATAAACATTGATTGATTGATTGATTATACTGGAGTGACAGAAATCAGCCCTATGAAAATGTCACGATGAATAGCATCATTTATGTCACACATTCGCTGACCATACAGGAAATACAGGACTGGATCTGTGCTGCCCCTTAAAACACAGCATCAAGGGGAGCACTTATTTGGGGAAATTATTCAACTTATATCCTACTGTGAGACATTTCACTGTCTCATTAGAATACTGCAAGTTCAATACTTTGATGATAATTTATTTGCATACGTTATGCAAGAAACTGAAGACTTTGAAATGATAACATTAGGCAATGTTGCTGATGTTACACCTCTTGATCTACTTTCGGATTTTAGCACTGACAAGCTTTATCTGAATCCGAGGTATAAGATTTTTTAGGTGGGCTTTTATAAACTGATCTGTTTTTAAAATGCTCATGTTTAAATGACTTTCTTAATTAAATATTGTGCAAATTAAATATTTGTATGATAACAGCTGGATGGAAACACATCGCAATGTCAAAGACTTCAAATGTTTTGGCATTTTCATAATAAGAACTCTAAGTACTGTATATTTGATAACATATCTGCTTGTAGTGACTCAGTGATATTAAACATTTGACGATTATGTTTCTGCAACAATAGTTTGCTGAAGATTAAGTTTGTTTTAACCAAGGTTTTTTTAGGTGTGATTTTATGAATTATCTGTTCCGTCAACATTTGATGAATTTGAAAAATATTAGTGTTTTTAAATGTTAAAAATTATTTTCCTAATTAGATATTGTGCTAATGAAATCCTTGTAAATAAATGTCCAATGAATGTATTCTTGCATTTTATTTTTTGAATAAAAACCATATCCACCACCTGGTACTTCCAGTAATCGTCATTGACACACAATGTGCAGATATAACACAATCACATGTTAATTCTGGTTAAAGAAATAGAACACAAAATGTGCAGAAATAAGAAATGAGTGTGTTCATCTTGGTTACACATTTATGACACACAATGTGTCAAATGTGCACATTGTGTGTTAGGGGCATGTAGCACATTTTGTGTGTAAAATGATTTAACACATAAATTAACACAACACGTGTTGTCCCTGAGCACACTAGGTGTGTTGAAATTCAACACGTGTCATTTTTGACACATCCCTTCTAAAAGTGTATCACATTACTTTCTCTTTTGAAGGCCCTCCCTCAATGTGCCACATTGAACCTGCACAGGCATTAGCTAATAGCTACTCATATTTAGCATATCATATGTTTTATAACTGTTGCTGCACCAAATACAAGTCATCATTTAATTAGCAAGTAGGCCAGCTTATCAGGACTGGAGATGGTAGAAAACTACAAAAGTTTTATAGTGAATACATACATCAACAATTTTAGCTGTTGGATTCTGGCAGTCCCTAATGAATGGGATTTTTCTGTGTGATGATGACGGATAGGAAGGCTGAGATTATAATCCCCTGCAGAAGGCTGACATTTCCGAGCCTAAAAGGCAGATGCCGAGCGATGGTAATCTTTTTTTCTGAAGCAAAGAGGAAATGCTTCAGTTTACTCAGAACTCAGTGACTCTCGTGAGTGAAACTTTCCAAATACAACATATTAAGATATGAGCAATGAAATAGGATTGCTCGTAAATGTGTGTGGTGTGAATGTCATCAACAGGTCAGAAGTTGTTCTGGATCAGACACCAAACGCTCAAGAATGATCACAAGTAAAAACAAAACTGATGTCTCATGATCAACATCAGCCTCCCTGTCTTCTTTCTCATTAAGTTCATCAGATTGGAGCGGCGTGCCACTGCCTTTCATTTCTGGCTGACATTTGACTCCTTAGCAATCCATGTCTCTAGTTAACACAGTGGAAATTAGAATTGACAGAGTTGTCAGTACTGAAAACTGAGCTGCTCTTTCACACGGGTGTCGGCAGAGCTTTACCTCTTTTACACGGCAGAGTTTCTTCTTTTAAGTTTCCTAAAAGAAGTACATTTTAATGGGAATTTCCCCCCCTACATCATACTTTCCAACAAGCCTAGTGGGTCAAAAATGGACACATAAAAAGATAAAAAGGATTCTGTATATTTAACCAAATTACATAAAAGCTTAAATGGATTTGTGATGAAACCTCAGGCTCAAAAACCATGTCTGCGGAATCCATCATGGTTTTCACAAGCTTTCCCTGGCGATTAGCATTGGCTGGAGCGTTGGCGTTCACTGCAAATCAAATCCATATTCATTCTGGCCCGACACGCTTGTGTGCTCACAGAAAGTGTCTCAGTTGCTAACCCCGTGATTTAAAACGTTTATCTCACCACAGTGGCCAAATCAAAGGACTGGGAAAAGGGAACAAATTAACATAAAGGTATTTCGCTTTTTTAAGAGACCTAATTTTGAAAACCGCAGTATTCATAAAGCCACAGTGCATAATTATGTTTTTATAGCTGTATAAACCATAATGTTACCTTGTAATTTCATGGTTACAAACGTAGCAATTTTGAGACCCCAGTTTTGCTTTGGGTTTGTTTGTTTGTGTTTTTGTGTAAGAAGTTATGGATGTTTTTCAAAACTGAGTTCACATTTTCACAGGATGTGGGATTTCTGTTGTTACATTGGGTTTGAAAAGCCCATGAATTTGGAGCGACAGGTGTCGATACATACTGGTTTAATGACTCCCAAGCCTGAAACTATTGATAACACACAGCTGGCTGTATAATAATAGCCTATTCTTAACTGGCACTGTATTTAGTGAGTAAAAGCTTTCACTGCTAACAAGCACTCCATACAGTATGCATGTGCTGTTGTTTAAGGGATAAATTAGCTCTACTTTGTCGTGAGTCACAGGTAACATTTCTGCCACAATTTACAAGGCTGAATGGTTGTGTATTGCTGAATGGTTGTGTATTTCTTCATAATTGATTAATTTCTTGAATAAATATGCTGTATATGTCTTGCCAATATGAGGATATATAACCATTATCCACTTAATATACAAACAATCTAATGGAATTATACTGTCCTGCCATTCAAATATATCTTTACGAATGGTGACATGGTTGTCTGAATTAGAATGGTTGTATCATTTAAATAATGTTCTCTACTGATGTCGTCATAATTAAAGGCAGTGTACATTATATTGAGAGTATGCATTTTTGTTGTCTTTCCCACCTGAATACAGGAGTAGAAAAGAACATTAGCAAACCGTTCAATATCAATTCTGAAACATAATATAATAAATCATTGTAGGCAAAACATAGATGTTTGTGGCAGAAGTTGTATGAGTTGCATGAGACAGCAAACAAATCAAATGTGGACATACTTTCTACTATCCCTTTTTAATATATTTTGTGTATTGTATTTATGGTAAAATCCATTTAGAGTTTTTATTTTGTATTAATGTATCTGATGATGAATGCATCTGATAAGCTTTGTTTTTATTCACAAAGCAATCAATTAATTGGTTAATTATTGATAGATTGATCAATACTAAAATATCTATTACTTGAAGCCATAATACATGACTAAAGTATACATATCTGTAGACCAGTAAAAGCTGTTTTATGATTTGATGTTGAACTTGTTCTAAAGAAACGTTAAATACGTTCAACTTTACAGAACAGTTCAACTTCTGCAACAGATAAAGGCAAGCGTTTGTGAGTAAGAGGATGACTCGTGCAGTTTGGCAGTTGTTTTCAACAGGTGCAGGCACATTTTCTCAAACATAAAGCGATAAATTAGCGAAAATGTGAAGGACAAACATCAAGGGCTCCCACCTCTCTCTTGTTACCTTCAATTTCCAGTCCATTATTTTCTGTATTTCTTACATTTATAAATACGAGAATCTGTGTGACATTCTTACCTGCGCTTCTAAATACCGTTCCAACTATTGCCTTTAGTAAGTGGGGTTGTTTGGATGAAATCTTCTGTACAATTCAGTCTATTTCTTGGTCTTATTCACAGATATACAGTTTTTTATAAGCTTTAACTGATGCTCAAATCCTGTAATGCTGTTATGACCAGCACAAAAACAGGAAAAGCTTTTGTTTCTAATTTTCTAAAAATGTACCTCCAAACAATTAAAAGTAAGGAA